CACAATTGTCATGCCTCATTGACACATACACACAAAATAAAAAAATAAAAAAAATAGAGGAAAAAAAGAGTTTATTCAACCACCGAGTGCACCAACACACTTTTTTGTGCGCTGACACACAAGAGATTGAACACATAATTTTTTTTGTTTCATTATTATTGTTATTGCTTTCCCTCTTTTGCAAGCCAGTCTCTGGTGGCGGCGTTGAACGTGAGGCAGTGTAAGGGGTGAATGGAGGTTGGCGAACAGAAAAAAAAGAAAAAAAAAAGAAAAAACGGCCATGCAATACACACAGGTTTATAACCATGTGAAAATCCATTGGCCCAAATAGAAGAAAAAAAATGTAAATCATGTCGCACCCCAAGGCCAAGGCAAAAAGGTGCCGGAAGAAGATGAGGAATAAAAAAGCGGGCAAGTAATATCAACAGCGAAATGAGCCCCATTTCTTCCACGCCAGCTAAGCACAAGATGCAAAAAACCACTTCGGACCTTATTCTCTCATTTCCTTCGTTTTTTTCCCCTCCCCCCTCCCTTTTTTTTTTGCTTCATTTTTTTTCTTTTTTCCGCGTTTTTTTGTTAAATAACAAAAGTGATAACTAGCGTGAGAGCAATGACAGACCCCTTATATAACGAGATCAAGACAAATCACTTCACCACACTACAGTTTTCGCGGAGGTACAGCACTACCACCATACCCTACGTAGGTGTTAGAGTTGTCATTGTATGGACGTCGTCGTTGGGGGATTCTATTGTTCATTATATGACCTCCTCTTGTGGCTGGACGTGTCCCCAGTGGCTGTGGCAGCGACGTTATTCCAATGCCTGACCGTAATGTTCCTCTATCGCCAATTGAATGGAAAAGACCCCCACCGCCCACACTATTAAAGCCGCCCACGTTTCCGTTGCCGCTAATAACAACACCGCCCCCACGCCCCACATGCCGACCGTTGTTGGGTAACGATTGACCCAACCTTTCTGGTATAGTGGAATGTGTTGGGTGCTGCTCTGCTAAATGGCATATACTCTCACCTATTTCGGGTTTTAAAGGGACACCATCACCCATTTTAGAAATTGGAACGCTTGGAATGTTTCTCATCTCTTGTTCCTTCAGGAACACATGGTGCTTCATCCATTCTACGGTACAGGAAGAAAAACCATTCTTGTCAGCACTTCCGTCTGGAAGCAAACGCGCATATCCAAATATGACCGGGTACTCTTGCAGCAAAAAAATAATGATCACAGGTCCTCTCTCTAGCGTTGCATAAAAAGCACGTCTATTCGCTGGATTAGTCCAGAAAACACCTTCTTCCACGGATTTTTCCACTTCATCCCTTCGAATTAGGGCGACAAAATAATAGGCACTTGTATTTATAACACCCGCATTCGCTGCAGTTGAAATTTTCAAAAAATTTCCAGATGCCTTGCCATTCATTCTTCTATGATTCCCACCGCGATTGTGGTTGAGCGTCGGTTCGGAAAAGGAAGCAATGTCCGTTCCAGTGACCAATGTCTCTGGGACAGAAGAAAGTTGTAGTGTCGTTCGCGTGGGAATTTTGTCGCTGAGAGAAGTATAAATGAACAGACGGGGAAAAAACTCCAGCACAGGAGGAACCATCAGAAGTTTTGAAGGGTCCTGAAAAACCACCCAACCCCTTCCGGTGCATTCACCCGAAGGAGCTGTAAAAACATCCGCCTCCGCAACCATGTCAAACGCTTCAAAGTATCGTCCCAGCATCTCTGCCGTTGTGTTTGGTGGAAGATTCGTCACGTAGACACAGACGTTTTCACCTGTCATTGGATGCAAATCACCTGTGGCGGGTTCAGGTATGTACGCCTCGTAGTGGCCATATGGAATCAATTTACAGGCTGTAACGCCATATTCCGCCGCATCAGCCGAAATAGGCACCTCACGAGGGGGCAACTCACTGGGGTCATACAGCACCGACCCCACGGGAAAGCGTTGATAAAGCGCAAGCCTTCCATCCTCAAGAAGTCCCATTTTCTCGCCATTTACGTACACAAACATATAATCGTAATTCATTTGTACTATGGAAAAGGTTTGCAGCTTAGTACCACAATCAATAATTGTTTCCTCTAATTTGTGTGTGTGCACAGGAGAGAAAAGCAAAGAGGTTAAAAAGAAATTTGTTTATTTATTTGTATATTACCCTTGAAATAAAACCAGTTTCACACATACGTAATGTTGTATATATATATATATATATACATTCCTATTGCTTGTGTTTATATGTATACCGGTCCGTATGTTGTTATTTCTCAATCCTCCTCCAAACGAAGGCCCCTTCTTTCCAGAACAATTTCCACCTCAGAATTAGACGGGAGTCGTGTAACGTGAAGAATGCGAAACAGAACACCATCCTTCTCAATGCAAGCACGTGGGTTGTCCCAAGGCAAAAGCCTTGCAAAATCCCCGGCGCACCACCGCCACAAGAAAGGCACCAACGGTGCAAATCTCATGTCTCGCAAAAAAAAAGTTGCGTGCGTGGCAAATGGAACCCCAGCACCAAAATGCGTGAGTCCAATAACACTGTTCGCATACATGAAGGCAAATTGGACGAAAAACGTCCTCACAGCATCTTCTTCCAAGCCCAATGCGCGCGATAAACGTGACAACGATAAATTTAATATCTCCGGCATGTCCTCTGTAACTGCCAAACGTTGTGTCACAGGCACCAAGCCAATGCAGCCACTCACAATCACACACCGTTCAGCGTTCGTGTTAACAAGGTTAGAAAAGGAATGCGGCCCCATGGAAACTGGCCCGCAACAACTCCTGCTTCGCACCTGCAGTGTCGCACGCTGAATAAACTCTCGTGGGGCCGAAAGAACCTCCAGACAAAACGCTTTTTTATCCGAAACCTCTGCAAAAGCGCACCCGGGTGGTTGAGGGTTGGGAAAAAAATGAGCAAACGCCTCAAAAAAAAAAACAAAGTACCTTATAGACGGAGAAAACACAAGCATAAAAAAAACTTCACGGTTTCTTCCCGACATGTCTTCTACGATCCTTTGCAAGACGCCTGTCACGCAATATTCCACCTCGTCCTCGGTGTGCAAAACGTCACTCTCGTAGACATCGCAGCAGTTGTCGCCCCAAAACTTCGCATCAATATTGGAAGGCCTAAAGCTCTTCTCCCATTCAAGTTCTTCATTGTACACGTTAATAAGCTGGTCTACTCGGGGCAAATGGCACATTCTATCAGAAGGAAACGTCAGCGTCGGAAGTCGCAAAAGCAACTCTTTACTCAATGCCCTTTCTTCCATTGTCTTGTCGCGCAGCTTCACCTTGAGGCGCGCATAACCAGAAGGAGAATAATCGTTATCATCCACAATGACGCGTTCAAGCAACGAAACCCCCAGACACTGATCCCTGAACAGTGGACAGTCCAATACAATGGTCTCAAATTCGCCTCCCTCACCGGCACCGTGTGTCCCATATAATTTTTGTGCCTTCTCCAGTGTGGGGCGTACATCCTCCAAAGACAAACCAACGTGAATCCTCGGGTCAAGTCCAATGGACGCCGTCTTGACAAGAATAGCATGCACATGTAACACGGCAGCTATATCAAGAACCTCCTCCGCCGGGCGTTGCCAAAGAAAAGCAAGTGAATGGAGACCTAGACGGCCACAGACATCCTCCACGCGGTAACGTTGATAGTGGGACAGAATCGCACCCGTAGTTACCCCTTCCACCTCTGGAAATTCCTCCTTGACGGAGTGAAGCAGACGATAAAGGGTCTCGACCTCATCCTCATCATCGCGTTCCTTCGAATAGTGAAGGTCCTGCACCTTCGACTGGCCTGCCCGAATGTATGCTCGACGAAGCGGCAGGCCCATGCAGTGGACTATAGATTCTACCGCTTCATGACCCACCGTTTGAAAGAAGTAAGAATCAAGCTCGTGCACTTCTTCAGGTCCCTCATCGCCTGTAGGGCAAATGTTTGCCACAACGACAGGGAAATGCCCATATCGCATCGCCAATAGCACCGAAAGAATACTATCTTTTCCACCAGATATGAGGGCAATGGTTTTCATGAGTGTTTTTCGGAATATAATCTTTGCCTTTAACAATCCCCCTTTTGCGCCGTGAATTCAGCGTGAATTTATGAGAAAAACAATTTAACAACAACAACAACAAACGAGGATGAGGTGGCAGGGGAAAAGCACATCAACGGACATCTTTCTGATCGATTTCCAAGAATCCATGAACGCAAGCCCACACGAAAACACCTGGAAGGTATCTCACATACAAAATGCATGAAAAAGAAAAAGGCTACAGGCTTATACAAATAGAGAAAAAACAACAACAAAAGTGCAAAAATATCGATGAAATGATAGGCAAAAGCGTAACCAGCACCTGTGAGCCATGCATGCAAACAAATAAAAAAAAACTCTCTCTTTATCCCCGCCTTCTTCATTTGGGGTTGGAACAAGCGGAAGCATCGGGAGCTTTGCCTAAGTATTTTGAAAGTGTATAGGCGGTGATAGACGCAAATAACAGCGCGCGAAGAGTGCTGCAGTGAACCTCCTGAAAGAGAAAGCAGCCAACGATAATCAAGCTGGCCCTCCTTTCATCATCTGTGAGACCTCTTCTACGCGGCATAACTTTCTCCGGCTCTTCCTGTCTCTCCCCTTGGCGTCTAGCGCAATCGTGCTCAACGGGAAACACCTCATCGTTGGAAGTCTCCCGAATTGCACATGTGTCCACATCAAGAATAGACATTGGCACCACTGTTCTTCGCAGAAAAAAAAAAAAAAAAAACAAGAGTGTAGAAAATGTACAATGGTAAAGTCAGAAAAATTAAAAGAAACACTCATGAATAACAATAAAAAAACAAGCGCAAATATATTTATATATAAAGTTTAATTAGGCCCCTTTCCTCATCAAGCAGGTTTTAAACACACGCACTCACCGCCGCTCCCAACATTCATCTGTCTTTGTTCTATTCACGCAGTTGCTCAGTTACCTCTTTTTATAATCCTTTTGAGTTTAACTACTACACGCAGCAACTGATGTTGTTGCTTGCGAAACACCGGGTCTGATAGCTCGTTAAGGGCGTACCGCTCAACCACGTCCACATGCTGACAGGCAAAATCAAACGTTGCCCCAATTTCACCTAAAAGTTCGAGGTCGCTCTTCGACAACTCAGTACTGCCTCCGGTGTCCACATTTTTTTCCATGCCTGGAGCACCCCGGAACGACTGGGAGTCACGGTTAGATGAAAAGGCATCTTTACGGTTACCCCTGGACGTGTTGCTGGCAGAACGCTTAGTGACCGGCGAACGACTACGACGCCGCTTTCGGGTGCCAACTGTCGAAGAGATCTCTTCCGCGTACTCGGGCAAAATAGGCAGAAAGCGATTCCGTACCTCTGCATAGCCCTCCTGGTAAAACCTTTTCGCATCAAACGTAGTGACAAAAAGACAGTGAATGCCTTGTTGGTCAACTGTAAGTTTCATGGGATAATTCCGAAACGGCGGTTGGCGCAACAAGACATCCTTGTCCAGCGTTTCCCGCTCGTCCCCAAGACCATCGCTTGGTATAAAGCACTTTACAAATTCTCTTTCACCGCCCGGTGGTGGTTTCGCGAGATCAACCACCGGTTGTCCCTTCTCGGCCTCCACACCTCGCTGGGCAAACCTGGCTGGTGCCTTTTCGTCGCTGATAGCCTGGACCTCTTTTACTTCCGGTGGGGATTCGTACCCTGTGGGCGGCTCATTTACCAATGCTAAAGAGGAGGAAGGCTCCAACGACACAGACTCCTCTGTTACTCGGATCGCATTGTATGTCATGTGGGACGCGTCAACTTCCTTCGCCCACTCGGCGGGGCCCAGCGCATGCATTAGAAGTAGTCTACCTTGTGGTGACGGATCCACCGTGGCTCCTTCTGAGTTAAGCAATACAACGTCTGTATTCGCCCCAGATGTAGCCATGAGGACTGCAGCTGTTTGTGTACCAGAGTCGGTCATGTTACGAAGCCGGTTATTTCGAATTGCATTAGTCCATGCATCGCAAAACTGCTCGGCGATAAATGCCAAATGCCGTTCCATTTCTTGTCCAGCCTCATTTGGAGGAATTGAGGGCTGCCGCAAAAACAGCTCCCCTCCCCTCATCTCCACATGCAGCACAGAACCCCATTGTTTCTGGAGTACGGTGGCCAAATTCACCTCGCCTCCCATTTGAGATAGTTGCAGTGGCCGAAATCCGTAGTCCTCTGCAATGTTATTTAAGCAAGACAAAGAAATCGGCTCTACATCTGAAGGAGGAATAAGTGCCGCTAATAATAATGCAGAAATGTTCCACTGTGAGTTGTCATTACTGGAATGAGCCACCTGCGGTGGGTACACCAGAAGCCCATCTATACAATCTTGCAGCCATAGGACAGTAACCGTGATTGCTGTCGTCGTCTTGGCTGACGTCGATGGCGTTGTCCATGTTGTCCAATCATGTTCTTCTGTCTCGTGGCATCCATTCACAACAGGTAAAATGAGGGATGAGTTCACTGAGTCAGTTGAAAATTCCGTCGCTGTCATGGATTCATTTGTCGTCACAGGTGGCAGCATCGCGACATGAATAGTCTTTTTTTCTTGCTCCTCATTGACACCAAAATTCTTGAATTCCCCCGAGGCCCCACCGTTGTCTTCCTCGCCAGAGTCACTGTTCAGAGAGACGCTGCTTTCCCTCTCAACGTCAATTAAGGCAGCTGAAGAAGAATCGGAACCTTCGGAGTCGGAGGAAGACAAAGATGAACTTCTTTCCCCGTCTTCGCGGGACAATCTGGGCTTCTGTAGAGTGCAGGAAAATGAGTTTTCCCCCTCCTCAATAACGTAATGCGTCGCATCCTCGTATTTACTAACTAAATATCCACCATGTTCATTGATCATCATCACAACCGACGATGGGTCTGTAACCTCCGGCGATAGATAAAAACGGTATTGGGAAAATAGCCGTGCCCGAGAAAAAGAGATGCAGGACGAAACGGCAGTGTGCGGAAAGCGAACGCGGCACTCGGCAATACGCAGGCAACAGGAAAGAGCTCTTAAAAGAGCGAGAGATTGGCAGGGGTAATTCGTCTCGTGCCGCACCTCCACAACCTGAGACCACACCGCCGTATGCCACGCCGCCCGTGACGTCGTCACAACCACGGAAAAAGGGTACTCCTCAAGAGTGCAGTTCAGGCAGGACAAACGAAAATTCTCGTGTCCGGGTTCCCGGAGGATGGTTCTTATTTCATCAAATGCGTCCCATCCAAACAAACGCAAAAGAGACGCCGTTTTCTCTGTCTTCCAGGGAGTAACCAAAACTACGGAATTGCCGGTGGCCCTCAGTGTCTTCAAAAAAAAGGATGCGGCGGGGTACGATACCACAGAAACGGCCTTGCCATCAACCACTGCAATGCGCCGCTGGGGCTGTCCCGGCTGTCCCTCCAGATCGGACAACGTCACAGTGCGGAAGGTCAGCAGCACATCCACATCAACAAAAAACTGCACACCGCGCCACGTGGAACGGGTCCCATCCATGCTGCTGGACATTCGATTTTAGGGTCCTCGCCGCTAACGCATACAAGCAAAAAGAGAAAAAAAAAAAAAAAAAAAAAAAGAGGCGTTTTGAGTTGATAATCACGTAAAGAAAAAAGATGTCACGATGCATGCATCAATAAGTGAGCCGTTGGAGCATCCAATTATGTATCCGTTTTCTCTCTTCTTTCAAGTGGAAAAAACATCCGTCAACAATTTTTATTTTTTGTTTTAGAAAAAAAAGTTGACTCCTCACTGTCACTGTCACCTTGAGTTTCTCAACTGTATCGAATCCCCAACCTCTGCATTCCCCGCGAAATTACATTTAACTGGAGACAAACTGTTCCACCACTTTTGGTCTGCAGTTTGAAACGCTCGTCGTTGGTGTGTATAAGCGCCTTATCACGCAGTACCGGATTCCCGCCAAGTACAACAAGTCGAAGCGCCTCGTAAATGCGAGTGAAAAAGCTCGGACTCCAGTAACATGGCTTCCATGTCCCTACCACCACCTCCTGTTCTTCTATGCTGGGCGGTGGCACAAAGGCGACACCGTATCCCTCCAGATCCTTTCGGCCATATTGGTCAATGGACCACACCTGCAGCGATATCTTGGGCCACCCCTCTATGCTGTTCGTTGTAAAGTGGACATCTAATGGGAAACACCACAAAACACTGCCCTCCCCACCACTCTGCATGATATGAGTGCAGCCGGACGTACGACCTTCCACGACGCTCCAGTGCTCCCCGGTGACAATCTCAAAGATGCAAAAGTAGCTCCTCCTTCCAAAATTTTCCCCGGACATCAGATCCCCAATAACGTGAAGCTCGGCCATCTGCCAAACTTAACAGTGCAGCGCTCTAAAAGAAAAAAAAAAAAGGAGAGAGAGAGAGAGAGAGAATAAGAATCGCACACACCCAAACAAAAAACAACAACAAAAAAACATCCAGAAGAGAGAATTCAAACCAACACATCCACCAGACGCAGTGTATGCAAAACAAACAAAAAATAAACGATACAAATAAGAACACACACACACAAAAAAAAAAAAGGCCGTACCCACAACATCACATAGAAAAATAAATAAATAATATATTTAAAAAAACTGTGTATGCAGTAAAAGGTAAAAACGTTACAACTAGTGGGACTGAACAACATGCATGCTCCAATGCGCCGGCGGAATCACATGTTGAGGCAGTTGTGGGGCCGACGGCGGAACAAAACTCGCACTATGACCTTCCCCACCCAGTACAACCAGTGGAAACAAAGGCTCAGGATCCTCCACCCCTCTAAACCTAAAAGCCACTCCCAATGGTTGTCCATTGAGAGAAAAATGAAGTTCTTTTCGAATCAAACTTAGGTAAACGGTAATATGGGAGCCGCAATGATAAGGGCATCCATATGGGACCCCTGTTTCATCGTCAGAGCACGCCACAATTGTACCATCAGAGCGGAATAAATAAGCTGGGCTTTTTTGGTGTACACCTCGATAATATTTGGTGGTTATCCCAACCGCAAACACGCTTGGCGGTGTATGCGTCGATGAAGGGTGAGCATCAATCCGTACCTCAAAAACAAACTCCCCCTCCGCAATACCGACCGTTCCAAGCGCAAACATCGGAATTTTCGCGCAAGGAACTGCCTTCCCAGTTTGCTCTTTCTCCAGGGCAATCAATTGAAGAAGTCTTGACGCATCCACCATGCATGTCGTCCCATTTCGAGAAATGAGAATATTCTCACTTCGCTGTGCGTCCCAGCGAAGAACCGGCCACGACACGGAGACTTCCTTTGTTGAAATTTGCTTTTCCCAACCAAGCGAAGCTGGAGGGGTTTTAATACGACGATGTGGAGGCAAATATGAATCGGCGTTTTGGCAATAAAGTGTGCCACGTCTCTCATTATTCTCATCCGCTACAAAAGGTGTCGGTTTAACTTTTTGCACAACATACCCAACCCCACTTTCGCAGAACCCAGCAAAACGGTGTGAAGGATATTTGGCTGCCCCACTCTTGTCTGTTCTCCGCGTGTTCTCGACACCTTCAACAAAGCTTCGATGGGGTATAATAGTTCCTTTGACCAATGCGCTCATATAATTTTGACTAATGCCATCGGCAACATTTTCGGGAAGCAGAGAAAGAGGCAACGGAGGTGTGTGGAGAATACGCCGGTAATAATGTGTCACACTCGTTTTGGTGTTGAAGGAGGAACAAAGTTTTTTGATGCGAGCCAAACGTTTCTCGTACGTCACAATTGAAAAAGCCGCTGGCTCATTCACGTTGGAATTGTAAACTTGAATCTGTGATTCCCCAGACAGTATTTTTGATTGTGGCTTCTTCTTTATGAACGCCTGATAGAGTTCTATTAATTCCTTCATGGCTGTCAAACTCTCCTTGTACTTTGCCTCGCACGCCTCAGCAAAGATGGTTGCCTCCGTTGGAGACTGTTTCTGTGCCAACAGTTTCGGAGGACTGGGAGAGGAAACAAACGTGTGGGGCGAGATGGGCGACACACCGACGCCAGGCATACCTTCCTCATGTGTCTGTGGCTGCAGCACCGCTTGTTGTTCTCTTTGTTGGTGGTGGTGAAGGTGGTGATGGAATCCCCTTTCTTTTCCTTCCTTCTGCGGCGTTGAGGTATCAGCCTGAGAATTTTTCTGACCAGTGATGCCAAAGGAACCCAAAATCAGCTGCCGCTCACGTGTGAAGGAGTCTGAAGGCTCGAAACGCAGTTGGGCGTGTGCGTCAGAAGGTATCTGAATACATTGATGACGTGCATCTAACGCACGCTCCAAGTTGTCGCGGTCTCGCTGAGTCAAACGCCGCTCCATCTCTAGCTGATGTCGCTGCGTTTCAAGCAAACACCACGGGGACAAATGACTTTGGGCAGCCTCGAAAGATAAAGGTTTTGGAGCATTTTTCGCCAGCAGACCAATTCTGGACGCACCCGACGATAACTTTGAAGTTGCAACTTCCACCTTACCAGACGGCGGTTCGTAGATGTTAGCGTACACACCATTCGCAGGGCTGTTGAATGTCGATAAATTCCTTGCGTTTGGAGAACTCTCACGCAAGAGCTTCTCCAGCGGAGTCACCACATCATCGTCTATATTGCTACCAATCCGTGTGTTTCGCAAAAACAGCTCATTGTGGTCATCCATATTATCTAACACAGGACTATAGGGCTTCGGGTTAACCGGCGGAGTAGTGTACCTCTGATCTCCCTCCATGTCCACTTCGCCAAAACACAGCGTATCAAGATCCAACTGAACAGCATTCAAAAGTAAATCACGGCCATTCACCTCTTCTTCTTCAAGGGAGCAACGAGCAACGTGTTCCTCCTCCACAAGAAAAGCCGCAGCGTTGTGCTCGAGTTCCATTAACTCACGCCGCAAAAAAACAGGGTGCGTCCCCTCAGCAGTCGGCATAAGATCGTCTTTGTCATTGCATTCGCGCTGCGTTGAAAACAAATAGCGCCCAACAGATCGGCTTGTAGGTGGGATGGACACACTCTCCTCGCCGTTCATCAAGCTCAGCACTACTTCCGTTTCTGTAGGCACTGGCTCATTCTCCCCTGAGAATAATGAGTGGCTTTTCCCCCGTTGCGTGTAGTCTATAGGAGTCTTGTTTTCACACATCGGCGTGGGTGATGACGGAGACTGTGTTGTGGGTACAAAATAATTCTGGAAAAACGCGACTGTCTGTGGCTTGTTTAAGAACATGGAGTGTTGAAAAGCAAAAACACCTCTGCCTGCGCACTCTTCTGGGTCATCCTTCCGTTTCGTTGCCCCCCAAGCGGTGCCAGGGTCTTTTCCCAATTTCTGGATTCCCCTTTCCTCTTCCTCTTCTTCGTGTGCCATCCCAGTGCCGGGGTCCGATGCCTTCACTGCCCCCACGGCCTCTCGAACGCGTTCCTGCCTTTCCGTTCTCCCACCGTCAGGAGAATGGTCAAACTGTCTAAACGTCGTATCGGCCACAGTCGACGTTTCATACGTTTTATTCTTGGCATCGTTCAGATGAATAAACAACGATTCTTCCTTTTTTGGTTCATAATTCGCTTTCCAGCCGAACCCTTGCAAAGTGGATGCAGCACCACGTGGCACGCACAAAACTTCCTTCTCTTCTCTGCCTACCAGATGCTCATATTCGCAGCCACCCTCCTCCTCCTCCATTTCTGAAAGGGCCACCTTGCCAAAATTCATGCTCACTGCATGCCTGAAAGCCGTCTCATCTTTATTAGAAGTAAATGTGGATGTGGCTGGGGTTGAGTCAAATCCAACGTGAGGATTTTCCATGCCTCTAAAAAAAAAAACTCAAGGCGTTTTGCAGAGCCTTCTACTACAGTTGGAGCAGCATGAGGGCCAAAGGTCAAAAGCATTAAAAAAAATTTTTTTTTAAATACAAACCAGAGTTTTTGTTTTTCAAAACCTCAACCCGCAAAAAGACAAACGTTGAGGAACGAAGAACACAAAAGTATATGACATGATGCCATAAACAGGTTTTGCGATTCGCTGAGGCTTCCTGTTGGCGTGGTACCTAAACAATAAGACACCACTGAAATTAGGCATTAAAGCCTTCAAAGAGACAACATTTTTATTTTCGCTTCATGCAACTCCAAAATAAAAATAAAAAAAGCCTCCGTCACCCACATCCCCCTTCCCCCTCAACACATCGGCTTTATTGCATCTAAAACCAAAAGATGACTCACCCAAGTAGGGATTATTCAATCACACAACGGGTGACCGGCCCTACACCCAGCTGTTTGCTTTCACCGCCTTTTGAGGAATCATTGAGATATCAATTGCGTGGGTAATGAGGATGCAGAGGCCGCACATTTTATGGGAAACCCCCATGGCCACACAAGATGGAACGAATGTCATTGGGGATATTGCTTGTGCTCCCCTTCTCCCCGGGAGCAACTGGGAGAATTTATCCAAAAACTTCCGCCCAACATACGGCAGTATGCAAGCGAGAACGCATCTTCGACTCCCAAGAGGAAAATATCCGCCATACCACAATCCCACCGTCTGTTGCAAAGCCCACGGGGAAAGAACAGAAGAATAAGATGAAATGACGTCGTCTCTCAGCTCCTCATGCTGTGGGATTCCAAAACATTTGCATCAGCGAAAGGCCACGTGCCTCGCGTCATTGAATTCGAGGAACCTCCCACAAAGCCATTGAAGCCATAGCACAAAAAAAGAATAAAGCGGAGTGGAGAGGAGGGCCAAAAAAAAAACTGAAGTAATTCCACTGTCCCGCCCTCGAATTTCTAAATATTCTGAAACGACACAACCCAAAGAACGCAAGCCAATTAACTATAAAATTGTGGTGAGAAGGGATTCAAAAAAAAAAAAACAACAACACAAAATCTCACGCTTCCCGCAGTTTTCCCAACAACAAAACAAAACACATAAACACACACAGACACACAACACAACACAAAGCAAAAAAAAAAACACTCATTAATGGAGGTGCATCATTACGGTGAATATTTGGGTGCCAAAGCCCGACAAAGGCATTTATGTGACTGCAATAATATGAAACCAATGCTATACTTCTCAAGTTCCTCACTTCTTTACTTGCCACAGGAACGATTTCTAACTAACAGGAGAGTTTCTTTCCCCTTCCGCCTCAAAATCCATGATGCAGGAATGCCTGACAAGAATAGATCTACAGGCCGCAATGTTAGTGGGGTTATTGTATTCGCCGTCGGACGTCAATAACGAGCCCACGGCCAAAACAATTTCTTTAGCTTCATTCGGAAGGTCAACCTGCACCTTGTACATGTTCAACTGACCTGTCAAATTAACGCAACTAGTGAAAACATTTTCTCGACGACAGAATGGGCATTCATCGTCCATCATACTACGCATTTCTTGAACGCAATCTACATGGAAACAATGTTTACAAGGTGTCTCCAAAACAGGCGTTCCATTGGCCAGTAGCTGTAGACAAATAGCGCATTGATCGTCATCACTACCGCCATTCCTTCGAGAGGGATCGTACTGATTACAGCTCTCAATTTTCACCGCCGAACGCCAGGCAGCAGGTGGATTATATTCTTCCTTATCAGCTATCCACACAATGGGCCGCGCTCCCCAAGGTAAAATGGAGACGGTGAATTTGACCACATTGCCCTCAGTTGAAAATGAGTGCAACTGAACATCCGCATCAGGACACACCCGAAATGTTCTAGAGTGATCCCCAAGAAACTGCGATAATCTCAAGACCGCGTCACGATAAAAATATACGGCACAAGCCACACACATATCAAAGCCGACGCGATTTGCTAAATTCCGAAAATGTACAGCACTGCGAACACCTGCTTTATCCATGTCGTCATAAAGCATTGCTTGGTATGCTACCTGAATATTGGAGATACAACATGTATCACATCTGTATCCACCACGAACATAACCAACATCCGGTATGGGCAGCGGATTTCCCAGACGCATACGGACCACCCCATTTTGCAAGGGAAATGTTAGTCGCTGCGGGAGGTCGTTCACGTATTGCCTCACCTCGTTG